CTTTGCACCTACTTGGCATTCATAAAAATTTGTCAAATCAATGGATTTTCTTTTTAAACTTAAGCACCTATATTTAAAATTGTACTTATGTTCCTTAGATCAATGATGAAAGGCTTTAATGAACCCAAAGGTAATTACTTCTTAATTATTATACCAAGTTTTAGATGATGATTCCAAATACTAACCCTGAAATTTCTCCCCAAGCATATGTCTTAAGTTTATATAATTGCTCATAAAATATACACACATAGTAATTCCCATACAATTATTTTTTTTATAGTGGAAGTCTAAAACTTTCCTCTAATTAAATAACAGTGCAATTTTAAAATAACATAAAAAGTTGAACAAATCACATACAGTGGGGCCTTGACTTATGAGTGTCCCGACTAACAAGTTTTTTGAGATACCAGCTGTCTCTCGGCGATTTTTTGCATTGAGTTGACAGAGTAATTTGAGTTAACGAGCTCCTTAACGAGCTCGGTCTCGGAACGAATTAAACTCGCAAGTCAAGGCCCCGCTGTATACTGTTAAATCCTACTTTTAATGTCTATTATCTACACAGGATTATACTAAGAAAAAGGGGAAAGAAAATAGAGATTTAAAACTAAATATGGTCTATACCTCTTACTAGCAAAAGTTATTTTAATTTTGATGCTCAGCAAGAGATACAAGGGTAAACATCAATTAGTCCTACAAAACCAGCATTCATTTTAAATATATTAGTAGAGAAACACAGTTGTCAGATTTATAAGAAATAATTTTGTAATGGTATAACTACTTCCTAGAAAATAAACATACTCTATAGAGAGTATAATGTAAGATCTGTAAAGCTACCATTTGCCCTTGAGGCTCTACTTAGCTCCATTACTGGCATTTGGTTCTAACTGGGTCAATATCATCTAGTTAAACACAAGTACATAGTAACAGCAAATTATTTTTGAGCACTTAATAATCTAAGCACAATTCTAAGCACTATACATGTATTAACTTTTTGAATCCTCATAACAACACTATTAACACTCCGGTGTGGGGTGAATTTCCCGCCAAAATATAAGATGGCTCTGTCTTTTGGTTTTGTTCCATCCACCAAAAGGGTGGATTACAAACAAATATTTGGTAATACGCAGTTACAATCGGCCCGAGTTTACACGTTTCCCGCACTCCACCGCAAATCTATATGAACCGAGTTAAAGACGGCTCCCGCGGAGTACGCGCAATTCACGCAAGCCGACTTAACTCGTTTCCCCCACTCCAAGTGTTAAGTAAATTCTATTATTACTTCCATTTACAAATGAAGCAACCAAGAAACAGAGATGCTTCATAACTTGCCAATAAGTCACACAGTCAATAAGTAGACCGTGAGACTTCAAACCCAGGCCTCAGAGGATGACGTTAACCACCACGTCTATTTGCCTCAATAAACTGCCAGAATAATCCACAGACTATAAATAGACCATCAGGAGGACTTTCTTGAAGCTTTTACCATTGGATACTTCAAATCCAAGAGTTCTTCAATAACTCACCAAACGCCACAGTCCAACAGTCTCTCTTGTTTTCTCCTTGTACAGGTTCCATATTAGCAACAGGATCGTCTTTCTGCCTTGGGTCCCACACCTTCACAGTTCCTGCCATACATAAAAGTGCACCGGCAAAATTCAACAGCAAATAATGACATTTCTTTTCTGCATTCTCTTCCTATGGCTTCCTGTATTCATGGTAATATTATAGATGTTCTAACATCTGAAAAAGTATTCACATTTTTCTAACTTTGAAGTGGGTAAGTTGTACTTAATATCAGAGATATAACCCATATGTCTGACTTAAATTTCCAAACAGATATACAGAAAAGCCAACAACTGTTCCTAAGTTATCAACAAGGTATGACTGACAAGGCAAACACAGATGTTATGCAATTCAAACCACACTTCCTTTTCTTTGCTTAAGCCTAAAACTAATGTATTAGTTACTTAGATAATACCAGTGCCATTTAAATTATTTCCTTACTACTCATATAATCATTGGCATTATTCTTTATACAGAGGAATAAACTAATTTTTACACCTACGATTTCTTACATTGGGTTTTAGAATACTATTTCATATATAATTAAGTTTAATTTCCCTGTAGCAATAGAGAACAGGGAAATATTAAAAAAATTAACAGGGCAGGGGTGGGCTGGAGGAGGGTCAATGGGGGGGAAAGGGAGACATATGTAATACTTCCAACAATAAAGTATTATTATTTTTTAAAAATATATCTTATTGATTTTTTACAGAGAGGAAGGGAGAGGGATAGAGAGTTAGAAACATCGATGAGAGAGAAACATCCATCAGCTGCCTCCTGCACATCTCCCACTGGGGATGTGCCCACAACCAAGGTACATGTCCTTGACCGGAATCAAACCCGGGACCCTTGAGTCCACAGGCCGACACTCTATCCACTGAGCCAAACCAGTTAGGGCAAGAATTATTTTTAAAAATTAACAAATAATTCTTCTCAATTTAATTCCAACTTCCTCATTTTAATGCAAATTATAGGACTGCTAAGTAAATGATGTCATTGCTTATGAGAAATACAAATGCATGTAATAAAATGGCTAAAAGGCAAGTACCTGAGAGAGCATAGGAAAAGCATAAAAAAAAGAAATCCTTAAAAGGGATAATAAATGTAGAAAAGGGAGCACTATTCCACTTGATTTATCTCCAAGAATAAAATAAAATAGGTTATTAAGAAAATGCCGTAAGGAAAAAAAAATTCCTGCAAATATGACAAGAGGTATCACTCCACTGGCTTCAAACAAACTGATAAAAGTTATATTACATTTGTAATAATTAAATGAGCTAAGAACATAAACAGACAATTCACAAAGCAAAATTAACTGGTAAATATAGAAAGAAATTAACAAAGTTGGAATGGTGTACCATTTTTATCTAAAAAACTAGGAAAATCAATGCTGGTAGGGTAGACTGGAAATCTATCTCTTCCATTGTAGCTGATAAGGTAAAAAGATAATTTGGAAAAATTGACAGTAAATTTTAAAAGCCGCAACACACACTTATTCCAAGAGTTATATACATAATGATACTTATTTATTATTTTTAAGTCACTCTCCCAAAACAATAAACAAAAAATTTGAGGTAAACAAAAAATTGAATGCTTATTAACAGGTTAGAACATTGTGACACCTCCATAGGATGGAATGTGACGTAGTCATTAACATGTAAGTATGAAAACAGCAACATTTACATATGACAAAACATTAAATGGAAAAAGTAAGATACAAAACCATACACACACTGATAGCTATTCTTTGTTGTATATAAGACTGGAAAGAAAAGCACACCTAACAGTTATGCTGGTATGGTGGACTGAATACTGTTTTTCCTTCTATATTCTGTATTGTTTCTAGGGTGGGAAAGAATACTTCATTTCAAAAACAGAGCCGCTCTTGAGTAACCATCAGAAAATGCACCTCTCTTTTCTTTTAAGACCTGTCCATTTTTGGTCACTGCAGGCAGAAAAGCACGTGGTGTCCTTGGAGCTTTCTACAATGCTCAGCGGAAGGATCACAGAACTTCAGAGTTCAACAGCTGTCAAAGTGACAATTTTCACAAGTACTGATTCTGCTTTTTAAAAAAGGAAAAGCTGCCACCCACATTATAGTCAGCTGCCTCAAAAACCGATAAAGAAATCTGAAATCCTTCAAGGTTCATATGAAACTATGGTTGTTAGTAGTTGAACTTGCTCAAAACTAAAATAGTGAAGTGCTTTTCCTCCACCTCAAAATACTCAAGAATGAAACAATTTAGGGATATGCCATCAAACCTGCCTATTAAAAAAGCAGACTTAGATTTAGTGGGTCAGGGTTACTGAGGATTTCCACACAGAGAGGATATACTGTTCTACAGAGATTTATCTTAAAAAAATTAAAACACTGTACATAAAATACTTTGACTTACCATCTCGGCTGCCAGTCACAATTTCAGGTGCTCCTTCCCCAATTCCTAGTCCACCTACACCATCTATAGTATTTATAATTTCTTTATGGCCCTTTACAGAATACACTGGGTACTCTGGAGCTTCCAAATTCCTAAACAACAGAAGACAGTTTCTTACTTACACCACATATCCCAAACACTTAGCTCACTACTAAAATGTAAGAATGCATACCATATTTAGATTTTTCTTTAAAAATAAGGATTTGACTATGAATTTATACAAATACTCCCAATTTCTTCCCTCCACTTTAGCATCTTTTAAGCCCTCAATGAGAATGGTCATTACTCAACCTGGAATTCAAACCCATGTCCACTTTATTTAGTGTTCTTCAAAGATGAATTACCAGGTCTGCTTATTAATAAGTGCGGAGTCACAGGCTCCTCCCCAGACATCATTAATAATGATCTCTGGGATGGGGTCCCAAACCTGTGGACTCTTTGCTGATTGAAGTCTGATAATTACTGCTTTAAATATAGAGTAAAGTAGAAGGATTTAGAATGTTTCCAAAGTTGGCCTTGGTAGTTTCATCTAGAGATCTTCTGAGGGTTATTTTATTATATGAATAGTGTGTACTAGGTACACATTTTCCACTTTATCATGTATTATTTTCTCACTGAGTTCCATATTGATTTTTCATCTAGTTATGTATTTTTCAGTTTATCATCATGCTGGTCACAAATATGAGAGCCAAACTGGCTGAAGTTTGTCTAATTCTAGGTTATTTAAGAGAAAGGAATGCAGGAAAGTAACTACTACTACGTGTGCTTGAGCCTAAACGAGATGGTTGCATAATTAATGGCTCAAGTAGGTTATAGCGATACATCCCTTTTCTCGCTTGCTCCCCTTCTTTTGCTTTTCTATTGGAGCTTCTATCCACATTTCTCTTTAACAAGTCAGGTTTCAATAACCTACACTTAAACAAAATGAATGTAGCTTTTCATGATGCAATCCCAACTTATGAGCCAAAATTTGTAAAATTTCACTTAGCAAATTTGAGATAGTTCAACCTACTTGAGATATGATATTTATCTTTATAGCATTACTGTGAAAGAAATAGGAGAATAAACAGGATTGAGGTTCTACTTAAAAAACTATTTTTACAGATTTTTAGAAAACATTACTTTTTAAAACATAAATGAAAGACTTATCAATGAAAACAAGTCAGTAGTACCTGTTCTACTCTATTAGGAAGAAAGTCAACAGTTACATTTGTTCTATATTCTTGTGCTGAAATATATTTATTTAAAAAAATAACATTCAAACTAGTCTCTCTCCCCATTTCTTTGAAGGTATATGACATAGCATGTGAGGACTAATGCATTGTAATAAATGTTAACTTAATTATTAAGCAGTTAAAGCAAGGGTAAATTAAAATAGCTTTATTATGTTTTATATTAGGAGCCTAAGACAGATAAATAGGTCAAAGTAATTTAATTACAAAGTAGCAGATTCTAAGTGAGAAGTCAAAAAAGGTCACATTAGAAAACAGGTAGGGAAGACGGTTTCTCTCTAGAACATTAATGTATACTTCAGATGATTAAGAGCTATTTCTAAAAAGTAATTAGAGAAATTTGAATTCACGCAACTCTAATTTAAATATAAGAAAACTAGAGGCCTGGTGCACAAAAATTTGTGCACTCGGGGGGGTCCTCAGCCCAGCCTGTGCCCTCTTGCAGTCTGGGACCCCTTGGGGGATGACCACCTGCTGGCTTAGGCCCGCTCCCCAGGGGACTCGGCCTAAGCTGGCAGTCAGACATCCCTCTGGCAGCCCGGCAGCCTCGGGGATGTCCACTTGCCAGCGGGAAGCAGGCCTAAGCTGCAGTCGGACATCCTTAGCGCTGCTGAGGAGGCGGGAGAGGCTCCCACCACCACCGCTGTACTGGCAGCCGTCAGCCTGGCTTGTGGCTGAGCAGAGCTCCCCCTGTGGGAGTGCACTGACACCAGGGGGCAGCTCCTGCATTGAGCGTCTGCCCCCTGGTGGTCAGTGTGTGTCATAGTGACCAGTCATTCCAGTCTTCTGCTGTTAGGGTAAATTTGCATATTACCCATTTATTATATAGGATAGAGGCCTGGTGCATGGGTGGGGCCGGCTGGTTTGGCCTGAAGGGTGTCCCGGATCAGGTGGGGGTCCCGGTGGGGTGCCTGGCCAGCCTGGGTGAGGAGCTGAGGGCCGTTTTCAGACTGGCCACACCCCTACAGTGTGGGGGTCCCTGCTGGGGTGCCTGGCCAGCCTGGGTGAGGGGCTGAGGGTCGTTTTCAGGTTGGCCACAGCCCCTTCAGAGTGGGGGGTCCTGCTGGGGTGCCTGGCTAGTCTGGATGAGGGGCTGAGGGCCGTTTTCAGGCTGGCCACACCCCCTTCAGGGAGGGGGATCTTGCTGGGGTGCCTGGCCAGCCTGGATGAGGGGCTGAGGGCCGTTTTCAGAGTGACCACAGCCCCTTCAGGGTGGGGTCCCCACTGGGGTGCCTGGTCAGCCTGGGTGAGGGGCTGAGGGCCGTTTTCAGGTTGGCCACGCCCCCTTCAGGGTGTGGGGGTCCTGCTGGGGTGCCTGGCCAGTCTGGGTGAGGGGCTGATGGCTGTTTGCAGGCTGGCCACGGCCCCCAGCCATCCAAGCTCCCAGTGGAGGCTGGCTGGAAGCAGGTATCTGAGATTTATTTATCTTCTATAATTGAAACTTTGTTGCCTTGAGCGGTGGCTATAGCTGGCCAGGGGAGGCAGGAAGCTTGGCTTCCTCCATCGCCGGGGCAACCAAGCCTCCTGCTTGCTCCAGCTCTGTGGCTGCCAGCCGCCATCTTGGTTGGGTTAATTTGCATATAGTCGCTCTGATTGGCTGATGGGCGTGGTTTGGGGGCGTAGCGAAGGTACGGTCAATTTGCATGTTTCTCTTTTATTAGATTAGATAACTCTTGGTAAAACATGAAAATTAAAAGCATTTGGCACAATTATGATTTTGCTCATTCAAAACAGGTTTATCTTGATTTGCTCAACAGATGTGTTCCTAAAAGTTGTGCTTAGATGTTAGCTAACACATTAAAAAAACTTTAAAATGAATTGGGAGCTCTACATTAAAAAATTAAAACAAACAAAAACTCTGTGTATCATTCTGTAATGTCAAATGTACTGCTGAAATGCACACAGTATCTAATTTTCCCCCATGTTATACATGTGTATTTTTATAGATTGTATCCTTCAAGGTGGAGGGGAATAACCCTTTATTTATAAATACAAGTTATTAAATAGTAGCATCAAACAGCATATGTAGAAATACTGATAACATTATTTTATGGGCCCAGCACGCTTCCGCTGCACCACTCTGCTCTCTATAACATTATTTTAAATACCTAAAGAAAAATTAGAATTCTCTTTCAGAGGAAGAGTAATAAGACTATCAAAGAAACTGTTATCTCAGGTCTTACTACTAATTAAGTAATCTTACCATATATGAAGATTTCCAGCAAAATCTCCAGTAGCTAAATATCTCTGCTGTAAGGATGTTGCACCAAATGTTCCACATTTAATGGGTTTGGCCTTTTCAATCTTGATAAAAGGGAGGGAGAGAAGATACATTATTTATGTCAGCTATTTATAATCATATTTACAGCCTTATTAAAGGGTTTAAATAAAGTGGTAATATAAAAAGCAATTAAAACTTATGATAAAAATGATCATGCTTTTCCTTTAGTCATCTTATATAATAAAAGACTAATATGCAAATCAACCGAACAGCAGACTGACTGGTCACTATGATGCATACTGACCACCAGGGAGCAGACGCATGCAGGAGCTGCCCCCTGGTGGTCAGTGTGCTCCCACAGAGGGAGCGCAACTCAGCCAGAAGCCGGGCTCATGGCTGGCAAGCACAGCAGCAGTGGTGGGAGCCTCTCCCGCCTCCGTGGCAGTGCTAAGGATGCCTGACTGCTGCGACCATTCCCTGAGGGCTCCCAGACTGCAAGAGGGCACAGGCCGGGCTGAGGGACCCCCCTCCCCCCCCTCCCCACCCCCGAATACACGAATTTCGTGTAGGGGGCCTCTAGTTCTTCTATAGTTTAAAAGTATATAACTGTCAAAAAGAATGAGTTTTAATTTTGCCTTTCCTTTCATCTCACTAATGAGACGTTCAAATGCTGATAACTCTACCATCTCCATTGGTTTGCAAATATGAACATCTCAGCATTTAATGTGGTATTCTTCTTTAAGATTCTCTGTAGAAATGAGAACGTAATGAAGATATTGCTCTTTCCAGATGGCTACAGGAACAAAAATTGTTATGAGTATCTCATAGTTTTCCCTGCAGAACCCTCTAAACTGAGAATGTTTATGTCCTATTCTCTGTGGGATCCTTTCAATCATAGATTTGTATACCTATGTGTACCAAAGGCACTGACTGCTATTAGTATGGATTAGCCAATCTTCTCAGGTTCCTTTCATTTAAAAGGCTACTGCTCCAAGTATTATATATAATTACATTAGTAAAATAACTATATACCAATGCACTACTTAAGGCATGTGGCTTATGGAAGTCACGTGAAGAAGAACATATCACAGAAAGGATCCTTGAAATGATCTAAAACTACCCCCCACCCCCGTCATAGATAAAGATATCCAAGTCTAGAGCTTTATAGATTTGCCCAACTTGAGCATTCAACATTTACTAGTAATGAGTCCCTACTATATGGAAGTCAATGAACTAGGCAGAAGAAGACATAAAGATGAGTAAGACGGACCATTCCCTCAAGGAGTTTACAGCCCAAGTACAGTAGTCCCCGTTATCCATGGGGGATATATGTTCCAAGACCCCCAGTAAATGCTTGAAACAGAAGATAGTACTGAACCCTATATACACTATGTTTTTTCCTATACATACCTATGATTAGGTTTAATTTATAAATCAGGCACAATAAGAGATTAACAATAACTAATAATAAAATAGGACAATTATAACAATATACTGTAATAAGAGTTATGTGAATGGCTCTGGGTTATTTTTATACAAGTACTGTGGTGCTGAAACCATCAATATGATAACCATGGCAGCTACTAAGTGACTAACAGGCAGGGAGCACATACACCATGGATACAGTGTGGGACAGAGTAGGATGGCATGAGATTTCAACACCCTACTCAGATTGGCATGCAATCTAAAACTTATGTTTATTTATTGCATTTTCCATTTAATATTTTCAGACCATGGGTAATAGAAACTGTGGAAAACAAAACCGCGAATGGGGGGGGGGGAACTATAGGATCAGTTCCTACCTACATATACACATGCATTATGCTACTCTCACCTACTCCCACACCTCTGTGGAACTTTCATTACTCGTTTACTTCCTGATGTTTCTAATTTCTCCAAGGTCCCCACTGACCCCAACTTCACCTCCCAGGTCACTGACAGCCCTCATGAAGTCTGCTTTTCCTTCTGGTTCGGCCACTGGAAACTCTGGACAATCTGTAATTAGATGAGGCCACTAGTTGATGCCTGTCCCACACTATACTCTGGCCTTATAATATCACCTTCCATTTACTGTCAGCCTCAATAGGGCAAAACTATTACTCATATTTGGTCTCTACACCTTTTATATTTTTTATTCTTAATGTTTATATAATATAGTTCTCTCTAAAAATTCAAACAAAACAAGACAAAAGGGCAAAAAGTCAGTCTCCCTTTGACACTCCTGGAAGTAATCCCCATCCTTCGAAACCTTTTTCTGTACATTTACAAACACACATAAGTTTGTTTTAGTATAAAGAGGATCATCATATATTGGCCTTTGACTTGGTTTTTTTCACTTAACAATATATCCAGATAAACTGTTTTCCCTACACAGAATTCTCCAGTTGCTAGGGCACCTCCCCTTGGAAACCTTCAGTTCCTGTGCCAATCTTCATCCCTCCCATTAAGGGGGGCCTGCTTCACACAATTTAAAAAATAATTTCCCTGCCACTTTCAACGTTTGGCTGGGCATTTCCATATAGGGTTTACATAGCAACTTACAAACAAGAAGAAAAGAAAATTCACTTCACACAAACTATAAACTTTTCTTTCATGATTAAAAAGACATCGTTATATGGTACAAAGCTTTGGAAATCCTCAGCTTGTTGAGTTTCTCATGGCTTGGGATCTAGATAAATTGGCAGTTACTGTGTAGCCAGGTATAAAACAAAGCATTCACAGACTCCCTGGAATTGTCCTAAACAAAATTAGTTATCTAGCTGGAGGAGGTCGATGGGGGAAAAAAGAGAACATATGTAATACTTTCAACAATAAAGATTAAAAAAAAAACAGTCATCTACAATAACATGGTTGTAAAGGACCATACTGATGAGCACAGAACCATAGAATGTTGATTGTTTTTCTTTTTAATGAATAGGCTGTCCAAGATAACATCAGTTATTCACTGTATTAGATTGATATTATTTCAGTTATTTTTCCAATTTTATGAAGAAGAGTATCTTACAATGGGATAATACCGAGAATCAAAATGTTTGTCAATAAACAAAGGAGTCAGTTTTCAAATCACGTGTGTCCTCCCCACCTGCTCCTTCCTTCAAATAAAAGTACCTGAAATAATCCTATATCTATATAATAAAAGCCTAATAGGCTGTGTCCAGTTGGCCATTCAACCAATCAAAGCGTAATATGCTAATGATATGCTAAGGCCGCTCAACTGCTTGCTATGACGTGCACTGACCACTAGGGGGCAGATGTTCCAACTGGTAGGTTAGCTTGCTGCTGGGGTCTGGCTGATTGGGACTGAGACGGGCCGGACATGCCCTGGAGCCCTCCCACGGTCCCTCCCTGGCTGGCCAACCTTCTGCTTCCCTTCCCGGCCCCGATTACACACTGGTGGGGTTCCTCAGCCTGGCCTGCGCCCTCTCGCAATCCAGGACCCCTTAGGGGATGTTGGAGAGCCGGTTTCGGTCCGATCCCGCAGGCCAGGCCGAGGGACCTGACTGGTGCACGAATTCGTGCACTGGGCCTCTAGTATAGTAATAGTGATACAACACCTAATCAATGTGAGGACACAATTTCTATGGTTAAACTAATCCACAGCTCCAGCTTATGCCAACTGATGAAACAGCTCCACACTCCCTCCTCCCACTTATTTCACAGTGGGCTTGGGTCTCCCCAGCTCTAAGTCATGGGTAATGGCTCCCACAGTCTGAGGCAGAGGGTGAAGACAGCCCTCTCAGTAAGAAATAGGTGGGCCCTAATGGGCAAGAATATGGTGCCAGGAACTCAGAGGGTTAGGAGGCCATGGGGAGCTGCCTCATATCTATCTATCTATCTATCTATCTATCTATCTATCTATCTATAAAAGACTAATATGCAAAGTGTCCCCTCGGGAGTTCGATCGCTTGCTATGACGTGCGCTGACCACCAGGGGGCGGCGTGGACCATGGTGGGCAACCAGTGGTGGTGGCGGGGCGCTGAGGGAGCAAGGGAAGGAGGAGGCGGGGAGGCAAGGAACCTGATCCGCCCTGATCGCCAGTCAGGCCTAGGGACCCTACCCATGCACGAATTTCATGTACCTGGCCTCTAGTTAGTATATATTAACTTTTGCTATATGGTAGTGGAAGTAACCATCCATGATGGTCGTATTTGACCCAGATGTTGGTTCTCTTTGCTACAATAAGTTAACATGATTAAAGAAGCCCATGATAGATAATTCTAGTGAGAGATATTTTTGTTCTGTCTGTGGGTGGGTCTAGTACAGCTTGTCAGTATTTCCTCCTCCACATCCTGGCACTACTTAATTAACATTAAAAGGTTTAGCCACCAAATGCTAACAAGCAGTGAATTCAGTGCCACAGGGGCTAAAAAGCAGAGCTGTATTAGCTCATTACTAAATTTTAAAGTGTAAACATCCCCAACTATATTGCCATTTTTCAGGACTACCCCCAGTCCTTTGTGCCAATTAGAAAAAAGGTGCCTTTTACAGGCTGATGAAGTCTCACGGGTAAGGCTTGATGAAAGAGGTAGATTTCAGCTCTCGTACTCTTGGCCAGACATTCATGGGTGATGCAACTAACTGCTCAACTGTATAGGGAGGCCTTGCTGTCATTCCCATTAATCTGCAGTAACAAGCTAAGGAAGGCACCAACAAAGATTCATTGTCTTCCTTCCTTTTTGTCTTGGATGCACAGGCTTTGACTTGAGGTGGTTCCACAATGATAGAATCAAGTCTGTAACCTAATATTGTAATAAAATAATTCCTCTAGCCCCATTGAAGTCAACCCTGGTACTCATTAGAATCATCTGGTGGAAGCTGAAAAAATACTAATGTCCAGACCTCACCCTAGTCTAAATGCAAGAGTCCCAGAGCACCAGAACTTCTAAGGGTGGGACCAACGCATGAATATCTTAAAACACACACACAAACAGCAACAATACATGTTAAGAGTTGAGAATCACTGAACATGTACTTAATCTATATTCTTTCCCAGTGCATCATCACATCCAAATACAAGGTAAATTCTTAAATGTTTTCCCATTTGTTTTATCCTCGTTAGACAGCAGGCTCTTTAGGAGAAAGAACTCATCAATTAAATAGTTCTGGTCCTTCTTCAGAATAGTCCTTAGATACAGGTGAATTATGAGATCACAGGTGATATTAATTTTCCTCTTTTCCTGTCTACAGAGTGCCCACCCCCAAAAAATGTATAGACACTTTAACAGCTGATTCTATTACATTTTGAAAATGAAATGTATTTTAATAAACACTGCTTTTATAATTATTCAAAGTGTGTATACATTTTTGAGGTCACCCTGTATATTTCTGAAATGTTCTATCATTAACACATTACTTTTGCTAAAAGCAAATTTATTTGAAAAACTCGTTAGAATCCTCTAGAAAGTCTAGAAAAGACCAAAGAGCACTATATCACTTTTGGAACAAGTGTATTCCTGCAATGTATACAAATCATAGTCTTAAAAAAAAGAAGTCACAAGCCCTAGCCAGCTTGACTCAGTGGATAGAGCATCAGCCTGCGGACTGAAGGGTCCCAGGTTCGATCCCGGCCAAGGGCACATGCCTGGGTTGCGGGCTCAGTCCCCAATAGGGCATGTGTAGGAGGCAGCCAATCAATGATTCTCTCATCGTTGATGTTTCTATCTCTCTCTCTCCTCTCCCTTCCTCTCTGAAATCAATAAAGAAATATATTTTTTTTAAAAAGAAGAAGTCACAAGTCTGGAGATGCTCTCTGGTTGAGCTTTGGTTGGTATTTGTTTCTAATCCTTCACCTTTAAATTTCTTTGTGCTATTCTAATGTTTCCCATTTGTTTAGACCCCTGATCCCAATCGTATAATCAATAAACCAATATTTAAATTACCCAAGTTACACTAAGTAAAGTGTATGATTATCTAACCACTAAGCTGTACACCTGAAACCAATACAAAACAAAATTTAAAGGGAAAAAATAAATTACCCAAGTTATATCCTTTACAGACATACATTTACTCATTCTTTTAACAAGTAATTTATTGAGTTACTGCTCCTTACATACCATATTAAAGAAAGACACTGCCCTGGCCAGTGTGGCTCAGTTGGCTAGGTGTCAACCCTTGCACTGGTTTTGATTCCAGATCAGGGCATATGCCAGGGTTTCAGGCTCAATCCCCAGTAGGGGGCGTGTAGGAGGCAACCCAGTGATGTTCAGCTCTCACACTGAAGTTTCTCTCAGTCTCTCCTCTGGCCCTCTCCCTCTCTCTAAAACGTCAATAAAAAAAAAAATATTAAAAAAAAAAAAGACACCATCCTTACTCTCCAGGAGCTTACAATCTAGAGATAAATGGAACAGAATGATGTATTTCAGGCACAGAGAGTAAATACCACAGGAACGCAATGTAAGAAAGGTTGCTTTGTGTGGGGATCAGGAAGGGACTCCAGAAATCAAATCATCTGAACTGGACCTTAGAACAGCAACAGGTGACTGGGGGCAAGTGGTGAGCAACTTAAGGAAACAGAGGAAAGAACAAGCCACATTTACTGAGTCCCTGACTAGAGAAGACAAACTGAACAAGAAAACTGACACTCACAGACATCTAAAGTGGGATGGGGCCCAACCTACCTTCTAATCTAAGCTTCCTATCGAAACTACATTCATCCTTCACTTACCAGTTTAACCTCTGACTCCTCCAAGTAGATTCTCTCTAAAGCTTTTGATCCAGGGAGCTGTCAACCTTCCCTGTAGTTCAGTGGTTCTCAACCTTCTGGCCCTTTAAATACAGTTCCTCATGTTGTGACCCAACCATAAAATTATTTTCGTTGCTACTTCATCACTGTAATGTTGCTACTGTTATGAATCGTAATGTAAATATCTGATATGCAGGATGGTCTTAGGCGACCCCTGTGAAAGGGTCGTTCGAATGTTAGTTAACGTGATTCTTAAATTCGTTCACTGTTGATCTTTTCAAAACGTGTAAACGTGATCATGCCACACACTGCTTAAAGCCCTTCAATGATGCGGTTATTCTCAGGGGGAGACAGGCATAAACTTTAAATGATGTATGTATAGGTGTTGCAACGTTCGGTCCCTGCTTACCACTCCTGTTTCTTAAGAAGAGACTTTCTCCCATCGCTGAGCTTCCGCATCGGCCGTTTCCCAGGGAAACCTCGTCCTTGACTCTTAGTGCGGCCTGGTTAGTTTCTACTACTGATTTCAGCGAGGAAGAAAGGGGGTTGTTCTTACTCTCACAGCACCGTGTTCTTTCATGTTTGAGAATTCATCTTGGTTTGCACGGACGCATTGTTGGTGTGATTATCTGACCGATTCTCTCTCCCACAGGAAAACCCCCTGAGATTGGGGACACTGTCATTCACACGCCCGGGAATACCAGGCAGTCAACTGACACTTGTGGAAAGAATAAATGTGAAGTTAGGGGATCTGTCTCCTGCAATTACACGGCAGGCAAACCGGCGCCAGCTCTGGCTCTGTTTGCATGAAAAAGCATTTTACGAGCAAGGCCTCCCATTCACAGGCTCTCTGCGAACTGCGCGCTGCCCCGAAGGGCCTCGCATTCAGACCCGGATGCGTCCGGTCGCTTCCAGAGGCCTCGCGCTGCACCGCAGGGGCCGCTGGAGGAGGGGCCGGGCGGGCGCGGATGGACTCGCCCGCCGAGGAGAACTCTGGGCTCGGGCAACAGCATGTACGTCGGCAGCACGGCTCCATCTGCGATCAACTCCGCTCCGCTCGAGCGGTGCTTTTGCGGGACCCTGGACGGAGGCGTCGGCGTAACGCAGACCCCGCACTCCGAATGCGCACTACCCCCCAATGGTACTCCCGGATCCTGGACGAGGGCAGTCTCGCCCGGCACCCACCTCCCGGAGCAGCTTGAGGTCCCCGTGCTGGATCTCGTACAGCTGGATGACGCCGGTGCCCCGGGCGAAGTTGCCCATGGTCACAAACTTGGCGCTGCAGGGCATCCACTTACAGTCAAACACCGTGTAGTTGAGGCCCTTCTGGATGTGGACAATGATCTGGGGCTTCTCGAAGGCCGACATGGTCCAGCCGGCCTGTCCTCCGCCAACGGGTACTTTTAGCCCCTGCCCAAACCCTAACCTGGAAACCAGACCCCAAACAGTTGGGACGGTTTGTCCCTTCCGCTCGCCGTACTCGCCCCCTGACGCCCTAGCCAGTTGGGCTTAGTTGTCTCGGATAATACCAGATGCGTTACTGAAATCCCACGAGCTTTTCCTTCACCGGTGGCACAAACTTAGGTATCGCCTTTGCCTACTGCCGTTAGCACATACACAGATTCCAGGCCACAAGATGCTTTGGCGTTGAGTGGCGGGGCCAGAGGCGACCATAAGAATACGGCATATTTTAGGACAGCCCCCTTCTCTCCCCAGCAAACTCACACAAAAATCCTGCTTCAGGTCCCCGGCGTGGGGACCTCTTAGGAAAGGAGGCGGAGCCCTACCGCTGGTTGGCGAGCATGTGGTGCGCCTGCGCAGTGCAGCGGCGCACGTGTTCCACCCGGAAGCGCCTGCGGGGGCTGGAGATTCCTGAGGATGGCCGCCGCAATGGAGGCACAGAGCGCTGTGGCCGAGGACGGTTTCACCCAGGTCACCCGTAAGGGTGGCCGGAGGGCGAAGAAAAGGCAGGCGGAGGAGCTGTCCGCGGCGGGGGAGGGCGGGGACGCGAGCCGCATGGACACCGAGGAGGCCCGGCCGGCGAAGAGGCCCGTGTTCCCGCCCCTCTCCGGGGACGGGTTCCTGGTACTGGCGGGACCCGGGACGCGAGTGGGGTAGGGACCTGGGGGAGGCCAAGTCGGTGGTGATGGTGAGGCTGCGTGGGCTCTTCTGAAGCTGCAGACGTGACTCCGCTGACGTTTCATTCGTTCAGAGAAAGGGAGCTTTTTTGTGCGGATCAGTTGTCAAGTTACAGCTCCACCCCCCTTCCTTCAGGCATCTCAATTGTGCGTTCTTTCCTTGCAGGATGGGAAAGAAGAAACAAGGAAAATTCCAGTCCCAGCTAACAGATACACACCATTGAAAGAGAACTGGATGAAGATATTTACTCCTATCGTAGAACATTTGGGACTTCAGATTCGCTTTAACTTGAAATCGAGGAATGTGGAAATCAGGGTATGGAGAACGCCAACCATTTCCAAATACCGTTTTCAGGGATGAACATGCAGGAATAGACTTTCCTCCGTGGGACTTGTTTTGTTAAATGACTTTCTCCCAGTTTTCTAACTTAGTGAGTTTGCGTTTAACACATATATTAGTTGAGTTCATAAGTTGAGCCTGAGATCATACCAAAATAGTGGTTATGCTCTGCATATTTTTTTTTATAATGTTCTGTGTTGAACTGAGAAAAGGCCAGCTAAAGAGAGGTCGTCATAAACAGAAGTTTGTAAATAATGAGCTGAAGTACTTGCTGCACTATCTATTTTATTGGTATTTGGGGAAAATGTATCTTAGAAATAAGTACAAATTATATATACACACACATATATGTTGTATACACATATATACAGTACTACACACGTGTATATATTTTTTCCCATGGTGTCAGCCCAGTGGTTCGACAATCAAAATTAATTGACTTAGAGCTTCTTTTTCTGAGTGCCAACTTTGTATCAGAATCAAAGACCAAAATCAATTATTATCTGTCTTTTTGAGGATTGTTGTCCTGTCATCAGGACTGCTATAGACTCATCTCCACTGAGAGACTAGAACAATGGAATAAAGCCGAGAGGCACTCTAAATAGTTGGTAACGTTTAAAAGAGAGAACTTGACAGTAGACTTCCTTGCCACTTTCATTCAGGTTTTCATGGCTTCATGCCAAAACTTCCTGTTTCCTTATAGGTTTCCCTTGCTTCGTTGCTTTACGTCATCTTTCACCACTCCGTCCTCTGTGCGGAGCCAGATTAATTTTCCCAGACCACACTGCTTTTATTATGATGACCTGGCATCTTCAGTGTCTCTGAAACACAAGAGTTAAGTTTCTGCATTTTTTTTTTTATAATGTTGCCTTTCAAGTAGGAGTCCCAGTCCCAAGTTTGTCCCACCATCTCGCTGAACATTTTTATATCCATACACATGGGTGGCTTTCCTCTGTGACGAAGACCCTCTCCTCCCTACCCCCTTTGTCATCCTGTCTCAGTCCCCTTCATCTTTTAGGGTCTAGCTCAAGCCCTTTCTCCTTTATGATCGGTCCATTTTTCAGTCATGCCTTCAGTGCCTACACCTTTATTGTGTTTCGCTGTCATGTGGATTGCAGCACCCTCAGTCTGGGTCCCACTAACAGTTGTTGATGCTGTTATATGCCAGGCACATAGTGGTGCTTTAGCACATGCTACATCATTTTGGCCTTTAGGACAGCCCTGTTAGGGAGATGACATATCCCCATCTTATGGATGTGGGGAAACTGAGGGTCAAAGGAGTGTCTTGGCCAAAGTCATCAAGCTGATAAGTGAATTTTGATACTAGTAGGGACCTCTTGGGATCTCCTACCCTGGCGCCCTTATTATACGATGAGAAAACTTAAGACCTAGAATATTTATGGGACTTGTTCAAGGTCATGTAGAGGATTGGGATAGGATCCAATTTTAAAACCAGGCTCATACAGGGTCTAGTTTTATACAACCCTGTATGGTTTCAAATTTGTCAAGGATGTGGTCTCCTCAATTAGATTGTGACCTTATGTGGGAGAGTGGAAGTAACAGTTTTGGAATCAGACCTATGTTCAGATCTTACCTTTTTCACCTTCTAGTACTTTAGTTGCCTCGAACATCAGTCTTTATATCACTTAATATTTAGGGTTGTCATGAAGCTTAGAGCTGTAGTACAGAAAGCACCTTTATAATGCCTGTCATTTACAGTGGTAGGCATGTTATGAATAGCTGTTTCTGTGATTATCCAGTGAACTCTTTGAGGGCAGGATCCCTGCTTACACCACTCTCAGTAGTTAGTACTGGAGTTGTTGCTATGGGAAACATCAGTACATACATGATTGAAGTTGGGAGATTAGATCACAACTTGCAGGGAAGACTGTATTGAAGGATAAGACAACTGGCTTGGGCCTTGACGCATTGAGGGGCTGGTCTGAGGACGTCCTTCAGCGTGCGTGCATTCCGGCTGTGCCAGAGGGATCTTGCTGTTAAGCCCAAGTCAGATCTGGATGGAGTACAGTCATTTGACAGCATTTTGGTGGAACTGTCTACTTCTGGAGTTGGGAAAGTTTTATTTTGCAAGTTAAACAGCACTTACCTCAGCAAAAACTGGGTCATGGAGAATACACTGGGTAAAGGGTGGTGGTGAAGGAAATTACAATAAAGGGAAAGGTCATTCCTAATATTCTGTTAGAATATTATCTTTTTCATCACCACCTATAATGTGTGCCTCTTTTAAAACAGACTTGTAAAGAAACCAAGGATGTTAGCGCTCTGACAAAAGCCGCCGATTTTGTGAAAGCCTTTATTCTCGGGTTTCAGGTAGAGGTGAGTGAGTTCATGACATCTGAAATGGGGGCTTGAAAAATACTCAGAATGAATGTTTCAATGAATTGGGACTTTTTTAAATATGAATTTTCTAATTCCATAATTTGTGTATTTTAGCTTAATACTCATTCTCAGGGATTTAAATGGAAGGGCTTCACAGTATTTATTTTTATATTGTAGGATGCACTTGCTCTCATTAGGTTGGATGACCTCTTCTTAGAGTCCTTTGAAATTACAGATGGTGAGTGTATGGCGGTCTTTTGTAATGAAATACTGTCCTTTTGTATTGTGTGTTTCTCAACTTTCCTAAGCTTCAGCTGAGCTGGATTATTAGCAGCTTTTTTAAATGCATATTTCATGTCTGTTAGGAGGGAAATTGCGTTAAAGATTACACTTTATGTGGAAGTGGGTGGTGTACTGGAATGGCTCGCCTCTTGAGGTCTTGCTTTTCTCATTTAGTGAAGCCTCTAAAGGGAGACCACCTGTCAAGGGCAATAGGGAGAATCGCTGGCAAAGGAGGAAAAACCAAATTCACCATAGAGAATGTGACACGGACGCGGATAGTTCTAGCTGATGTGTAAGTATGTGATCTTAAGAAAATTATTGTTGTAATTTACATTTGATCTTTTGCTTGGTCATAAAGATAAAATGACCTTTCAGAAGGTCATAAAAGTTGTATTTTATGCATAGGGTTGCCACTAAATCTTTGTCAGCATATGGTTCTGGATGAATAGTTACTTACTTTGAAAGCAGATTAAGTTAGGAAAATCTTAGAAATTTTTTCCTCAGTTAGCATGAAGGGAATGTTTGGAACCAGTATTAAAAGGAATTATAGGACAGGTGAAAATGTAAATAGTTTCTCAGGGGAATCTATTAAGTCAGTAGGGGAGAGCAAATGCTGCTGTGAGATTTCCTTTTAAAATATGTATTTAAAGGCCCTTACTAAAAGGTAGGTGGGTAGTCACATTGGGCAGAAACTAAAGAACATATGGGGACATAAATAAGATGAGACGGGCTTAATGTAAGGGTGCAGGAAGTCTAATTACCCCTCCATGAGGTTGAAGCTGCTCTGTTGCCAGGTTGGGATAACTAGCAGATGGCTCAGAGATTATATAATGCACAAAGTTGGGAGACGAAGCCGTTGCCTGCTACCGAATCCAAAAATAATTTTATTTGAAATTGTCTCATCTTTGCTCTAAACTGAGAGGCTCAACTATTTCTGTACTTAAAGAATAACTATAGTACTACTTTGGTGGACCTCTGTACCTGAGGACAGGTGTATTATAATTTTGATCTTTTATGAATTGAGTCTAGAGTTGGGAGTAGGGAGCCAGGGGAAAAGTTTTTTTGAACTAGAAACTTCAGAAATTGTGAAGTGTATACCACATATTAAAATACTAGAGGCCTGGTACATGAAATTCGTGCACGGGTAGGGTCCCTAGGGCTGGCCTATGATCAGGGCCAATCAGGGCCTTCCTTCGTTCCACGCTGCCCCCTGGTGGTCAGCGCACATCATAGTGAGCAGTTGAACGCCCGAGGAGACAATTTGCATATTAGCCTCTTTTTTTTAAAAAATATATTTTATTGGTTTTTCTACAGAGAGGAAGGGAGAGGAATAGAGAGTCAGAAAAATTGATGAGAGAGAAACATTGATCAGCTTCCTCCTGCACACTCCCTACTGGGTATGTGCCCGCAACCAAGGTATATGCCCTTGACTGGAATCGAACCTGGGACCCTTGAGTCCGCAGGCCGACACTCTATCCATTGAGCCAAACCGGTTAGGGCACATATTAGCCTTTTATTATATAGGATAGCCCTAAAAACTTGTTAATTTAGAAATCTAAAAATGAACTGGTTTGTTAATCATATTATGGGTA